TTTTTTCTTTTTGCTTATGTGGTGCTGAGGAATGGAACCCAGGGCCTCAGGCATGCAAGGCAAGCGCTCTACCACTGAGCCACCTTCCCAGCCCCAGTATATGTATTTTTTTAAATTTATTACAGCCCCAGTATAAGTATTAATGTCTTCCATTTATATGTGTTTTTTTCAAACAAATTTTCACCTTTGTTTTTTTGTGGGTCATGGGACTTGAACTCAGGGCCTGTACTGTCCCTGAGCCCCTTTGGGCTCAAAGCTAGCACTTTACTACTTTGACCCAAAGCAACACTTCTGGTTTTCTAGTGGTTAGTTGAAGATGAGAGTCTCCAGGACTTTTGTGCCTGGGCTGCTTCAAACCGTGATCCTTAGATCTCAGACTCCTGAGTGGCTAGGATTACACACACCAGCACTCAGTTCACCTTATTTAATCCTGTAATCAATCCTATGAGATAGATAACTTCATTGGACAGAGGAAGAAATTGAGGCTTATAACAATTAGAAGGTCTCAGAGATAAAGGGTCAGTTGAGATTCTCAACTGAGTACTTTCTCTAGTAAGGACTCCATAAATTGGTTCCAAGTCTCTGGCACTGAGTACAGAATTTGGTGTGTAAGTATATACCTGCATGTTTCTGAGAAGAGCTGACTCCATAAAGATTAAGATGATGACAATCTTGGCATTGGAAAACTTCCATTCTGTGACACTATGGGGACAGTTTCACTGGCCAAGAAGTTTTTAGACTGTAGTAATCATTTGACACATTCAATGAATCTTCCAAGTATGGCTGCTCACAGATAGTCCTGAGAGTGCTTGACATAGAAGTGATTCAACATTTGCTTTTGGGATGCCATGTGGAGCCAGTGAGACTTGCATCTTGTCTAGCACTTCATTTGGCACCCCCATTTTCTTGTAGCCTTCTTGTTCTCTTGTAGACACATGGGAAGACATTTTTGTTCAAAAATTTTAAAAATTAATTATGTATATATATTTTGTTGTTGTTGTTGATCATGAAGCTTGAACTCTGGGCTTGGGTGCTGTCCCTGAGCTCTTCAGCTCAAGGCAAACACTCTACCACTTGAGCCACAGCGCCACTTCTGGTATTCTGGTGGTTAATTAGACATAAGAGTCTCATGGACTTTTCCTGCCTGGGCTGGCTTTGAACTTTGATCTTCATATCTCAGCCTACTGAGTAACTAGGATTACAGGTGTGAGCCACTGGTGTCCAGCTAATCAAATTTTTTTTGTAGGTTGCGGGGCCTGAACTCGGCCTCCGCTCTGTCCCTCAGCTCTTCAGTTCAAGGCCAGCACTCTACCACTTGAGCCACAGTACCACTTCTGGCTTTTTCTGTTTATGTGGTGCTGAGGAATCAAACCCAGGTCCTCATGCATACAAGGCAAGCACTCTACCACTGAACCACCTTCGCAGCCCCTCAAATTTTTTAATTGTAATAAAGGTGATATATAGCGGGGTGCCAGGATCACAGTTTGAAGCCAGCCTAGGCGGCAAAGTCCGGGAGATTCTTATCTCCAATTAACCACCAAAAAACCAGAAGTGGTGCTATGGTTCAAGTGGTAGAGCGCTTGCCTTGAGTTGAAGAGCCGAAGGATAGTGCCCAAGCCCAGAGTTCAAGCCCCACGACAGAAAAAAAAAA